TCTGAAATTTTTTTCTCTTGTTTCTTTTTTTACTTGTTAGTTATCATTTCCTTCTAATTTTTCAAATGCACAATTTCGATTTACTTCACAATTTTGCATCATTATCAATCTTGCATCACACATTCTTTATGCTCATTGCATATTACTTTCCTTGCTGTTACATATAACAGAGGAAAAGTGTGACGAATCTTGGGGAAAGTCAAAAAATAACCCCCAAGATTTTTTATATTTATGGACTCAGGGCAGTGACGCATTAGCCTATGGGCAAAAAGGACAATTGCCTAGGGCCCTTACCAACAGGGTGCCTCGAACCAATCTTTTATAAGAAAGTATTTCCACCAAAAAGTTATTCAAACGTTTTGGAGGCCCCTGTATATGGGGCCCCTAATTTAAATTCGCCCAAACTCCATAAAGCTATAATTCACCACGGACTCGGGAATCTTAAAACGTCGAGAAATGCAAGAAAATTTGGCGTTTTTTCTGCATGTATAGATGTTTTTGTGTTGGTGGCACGATTTTGTTTACCCATTTTGAAGCTTAATAACTCCTGTACTTTTTGTCGAAAATTTCTGAAATTTTGCAGGGAGGTTTTGTATTAGGGTATTGTTTCAGTTAAATTTTGGTGGTCATAGGTCATAGGAAGTGGGGAGGAAGAGGGAGTGTCATATCTTGAGTTGGGTCGGACACAATAAAGATTATATTCGTCATTTGCATTTACAATTCTTTAAAAAATAAAACTCATCCCTACCTTCAAAATTAAGCCTTTTCTATTTTATAATAATAAAATAAAAAGTTTTTAAAATATCATAACAGATGGCGTCAGACACAGTTTTAACTCTTGCCTGGAAAGTTATGCAACTAATTACTGGTATTTTATTACTATTATTATTTACATTATTCACCTTACTTTCGCTGTTTTAACGCGCCATCATCATTAAAAATACATACAAAATATATGTTTTAAAGCTTAATATTTTACTTAAAACTTGGAAAATTATTATAAAATTTCACTTTTTCCAGCTTTAAGAATTCATTTTCAAGTAAAAATATTTTGTAACCGAATGCTAAATGTTCCTTCTAACCAAGAGTCAGATAAAATTCCATCGTACACAAACACAAAACTCAAACTTTGAACCCTGTGTGATGTAAACGTAGCAAAGTCCCTCCCTCCGCTTCGACAGTATGTAGGAGTATCAACGATAATAATAATTTATGAATGTTAGAGCGCGACCTAAACTCTGGTCCTAGTTATTTGAAGTATGCGATGAATCCTTAAATAAATCAGCGTGTTGATAGCTTTAAAAAAAATCATCATTGAAACAAGCTGAAGAAACGGGTAATTCGGATAATTGGATGTGGAAACTACAACAATTGTTTGCAACGAGGAAAAGAACTTTCCTGACCTTATTCAACCGAACTGAATGGATAAGAATAATTTCCTGTACTTTCAGTAATTACAAGAAAATAAAATGTTGCAAAATTTCCAAAAAATTGCAAAGAAAAATCGAAATAATCTTTGCTACTTTAATGCACTTAAATAATCGGAATTGGGGTTTGAGCTGTGAATTCGGCGGCTTATTTCTTTAATAACAATTAAATAAATTGTTATTTTTTTAATTGTAGTTAAATATCCTAATGAATTTCCCGAAATTTTATTGGTTAATCGGAGAAAAATTTCAAATTCGTGTAATTTTAAGTAACGTGAAACGTGAGTCTGAAGTACGAAATGTGATCAAGTGGCAATTTCTAAACGAAGAAATCGTTCTTATTTTTTGCTGAAATTTAATCATTGATATTCAGAAATATCCGTCAATACATTATCAGCTCAATATGCGATTTCAATTGTATATTTTATATTTAATGCGAAGAGAATTAAATTGCATCTCGTTATATGGAATTACATACAACACATGTCTGTAGTAGTCGTGTCCTCGACTAAACACGTATTGAATTAAACATTTTTTAAAAAACTCCTTCTGCATTGTGGGCACTGGAGAAGGACTTTTTCCATATCCATCATGGATTTAGCAAGGCCCACAATGGGGGAGGTCGATCCACCTCTTCGAGGCAAACCACCTATGAAAAATTCGTGGGATTTATCGACCGCCCAGATTCGAACTCAGGTCCTTCCAGAGCGATAGGCTGACACATTAATCGCTTTGGCTGTCTAGCATTATAGATTATTTTAAAACTACAGGCTGAGAGAGAGGCGAGATGAGGTCTGCACCTCAATTATACCATTTCTTTATTATTTTTCCACACAGAAGACTAACTTTTGGGGCCCTTCTATAAGCGGGCCTCACCAAATAGGTTAAATTAAATTAGAGCTAATCATTATTTAAAAAAATGTTTTAATTTACTGTATATCGTTTCCTCACATATAAACTAAATTTTGAGGCCCTTCTATGTTAAATGATGACGCTGAAGGCTCTTTTTTTTTTATCTAAGCTTGTTTGTATAGGCCTAAGCTGATATCATCAGAAAATATTAATTAATGGTATCATCTTTCTCAATTAAAAATTGAGGTGACTTAATTAATACTCTTTAATTCAATTTAATTTAAGTATACTACAGTCGACCCCCCTATAAGATCATTGATTTTTCCGTTTTATCTGAATTACATGTTGTACGAGTCACTTAGATTTTACAAATACGTGTGCCGGACTGTGAATGGCTCACATATTTGTAAAATCTAAGTGACTCGTACAACATGTAATTCAGATAAAACGGAAAAATCAATGATCTTATAGGGGGGTCGACTNCTTACGAAATATAATTTATGAAAGAATAAATTATTTCTTAGTAAAAGAATCTAAATTTAAACATGAAAATTTCTTTAATTTATTTATTTCTAAAGTCATTTTTATTTATTTATTTACTTTCAAGAATCCAAAGGAATAAGGTCTTGATTACTTTCCAAGAATTCAAAAAGGTAGCAAGAAATACGTTTATATCGTTTAAAATTTAATAAATTCGAATTAAATTTATTATAAATTATATTTTGCTTTATATAATTTACTTAAAAGTATTTTAGATTTAGCACAAACAAGCAAGGCCACACATAGATCCCGCTTGTTTCTGCTAAGTCCCATAGCCTGGGAGCCCTACAGAAAGTTAATTAAATTACTATATTAAAGTAAAGGAAGCAAAAGAAAAACACATTATAAAGGAGCCCCTACTTCTTCCGGGCCCAGGGAAATTTTCTCCCTTTGTTCCCCCCTCTGGGGCCCAGGAAATAAGTATAAAATCTGGGTAAACGGTTCGACGTGACAGAAAGACAAAATGAGTTCGGAAGAGTGGTCCTTAAAGTCAAGCTTGGTTAACAACGAAAAGTGAATCCTCAAAAACGATCATTGGTGACCTCGTAATATTCAGAGTGGATCTCTGTTGATTACAACAGAATACAGAAATTTTGTAAAATCGAGGGCACTTCTCGAAGGCCTCATCGTCTAAGTTTACTATTCAAACAATTGAAATTAAGAGATGTGCTTTTGAAAAAAATTAAGGATGTTTATACAATTACTTTGTTGAGAAAACAACTTAAAAGGATATAAATGAATAAAAATATTTTTTTAAACTGAATTTTTAAAAGAAATTTTCTATTGTAAACGTCTATAGAAAGTTTTTATTAAATGCATGAATTCAATTATAAATTTTCTCTCTAATGAAACATTGATTTAAGTTTGTTAACTTAAATTGTTTAAGTCACACCTAAACACATATACAACACAATACAGCATAATACACATAGCACAATAAAAGCACGACAGAACCTAGCATAATATATACATCAGAACACACATACACACACACACACACAAAAAAAAACCTATCGCAGCATAACGTAAAAATACAAGATAACACAGCACAACATACACAATACAACAGCATAATGTACACAACACAAGAAAAAACATATCACAGCAGACACAATATAATATATATACAGACATGTATAAATTGCACTTACGATATTGACATTCGTATGTACAGTAGTTGTAAAATTGCGTGTATACAACTAATTTACTTCTAACAAAATCCTAATTTTCCTTTTAAATAAATTTTACAATTTCTAAATTAATTCCTTGCACTTAAACGAGCAAAAAGACATAAAATTTAAAAATAAAATTCGTTTTGAAATGCAATTTCTTATAAACTCTGCACGGTTTTTTCAGTTTATCGCCGTTTTTTTAATAAAAAAATTGGATTGGAGTTATAAAGCGTGGAATATGTTTATATTTTGGGTTTACAAAGTGTTGAATGAGGCCCCTGGATGCTTTAAACCGGTCTTCACTTTGCACGCTCGACTAATCAAAAGTTTAGGCTCTGCAGAGTTAATGAATCGATTTTGTGATTTCAGAAGGTCAAAGAGCATGGAAGAACAATGAATAAATATAAGTAATGAAAATTGTTTAGTTGAATGGGCATCCAAATAATATGACATAATCAACATGTAATCAATCAAACGGCTCGAATTCGATCCCGTTTGGGCCTCTAATCCTAGTTTTTTTATGATTTGTCCCCATAAAACTTGATAGATAGATGGTTTTTAGTAAGAAATGTCTATTTTTTACGTAATTTTTAACTCAAAATAAACAAATTTTAAAGAAAATGAGCTCTTAAGGTGCCGACTCTTGATTTAGAACAACTTACAAAACTTTTTTACTTAATTTAAGAAGAATTTATGAAGTTCAAAAGCTAGGTTTTCTGTAATCGAACCCACTTTTGTATCCTCCTCCAGAAGGTGTTCAAATCGTTCCTTTCATTGTTACGTCACCGGAGAAAGTACAGTTAACATAAAATGTCACGCATTATAATAAATAATAATAATTATTATTAAATATTTATTATTAAATTTTAAAAATAAAAATATACAATACACGAATATTTATTTATAAAATTAATTAGTGATAATACCTTAAAAATAAACAAGAGATAAAGAGAAGAGTGCTGAAAATTGCCACTAGAGGCGCTAGTAGGTTTAAAAGGTAAAAAAAGAAAGGCAGGTGGTCGAACGCGTACAGTCGGCAGTGCATATTCTAGCGTGGAGAAGGTGGGATGTTAGAGGCGGCGATATTCGTTTATTATTCAGCATGAATTCTGCTAAAGAGATTGATAGAAGGCGACAGGCGGCGATGAAACAGATAGAAGATGCTAAAGATGAAAATTATTTCAAGAAAGTTCGGGTGAGTACGAGCCGGTGGCAAAGTGATTGTCCGGTATTACCCGTGTTAAAATCAATACTTTTAGCTTTTGTTATTGTTCGCGTAGTGTTTTAGCTCCGTTATTTCAACGCGTTGTTTTGTTCGCGTTAATTGTAAACAAGGGAATTAACACTGCGTTCTGTTGAAATTAACAACTTTGCGTCGAATTTGTTCGTTTGTAACCGTATAAATTAGTATTAAAGCGAGCTAAACAGTAAAAGTAAACGACAGTTGTAGATGGTTCCGGGTGGTCGCTTCTCACTACATTACAGAGTTGTTATTTTCTTTTTTATTTTCTCTTATAAATCTAACATTTGAATATGGATTATCGGAGGAGTGGCCATTTTTCGGGTGTCGCCGAAGTGTCTCTCTTAGCGGGGTATGGGGCCAAATAAGGGGAAAATTTCACAGATAACACCTATTTCGACACGGACCAAGATTGCAGAAGTGTCATTTACGTACGACTCGTGATGAATAGTTTCGTTATTATTACGAAAATTATTAATTGTTCGAAAATCAATCTAGCGATGGGCGCACCCCGCGAAACGTCCTCCAATATTTTACAGATGGAAAGATGCCCAGATACCGCGCATATTTACTTATCATCGGCACCCCGCTCATAGTCGCAGGTGTAAAAATGACGTTGAGGCGAAGGAAGTAACGTCATCCCGGGAAGCTACGTTAGTAATTCGGACGGCACGCGGCATGACGTCGACGCGAAGATTTAACAGCGTAGGAGTTGGGTGTAGACTATTGTTTAATTTTTATCGATTGTTAAGTACGTAACAGAGAATTAAATTGTTCCTGGAAATGCGTAATCTGTAGTTTAATCGGATATTTTTCATCTAAATAATTTTTCTGTGGCGTGTTTACTATTTAGAATATTTATAAATGGATGCGGTTGATTTTGTTTTTTAAAAATAACTTTAAAATATAATAAATCATCGTCATCAGATTAATTCCTGAAATTCCTACGGCATAAACATTTAAAATCGTTAAAACAGCGTTATTGGTTAATTTTAAATATTTAAAATTTTAAACGAGACGTCACGTGAATTTTATTAAGACGTCGAACTTCGAAAATTTACCATGCTGTATCGATATTAAATTTTCTATAAAAGTATGTCGTCTACTTTTATAAAATTGCCACGCATCAGCAGTCAATTTAAATATTTAAAATTTTAAAAACGAATTTATGTCATAGATAATTGCTGATTTAGTGACATCCATCAGCTTTTGATTTTGTTCACGTCACGATTCGAGATTATTTTGCTAGTGACGTCACGAGTAAATGTCGTCTGCTTATCTAATACTCTTACATCATTGGTCAGTTTAAGTATTTAAAATTTAAAATGACGATTTATCCTGACGGAGCGTTTTAAAATGAAATTTAAAAAATGCGAAATTTGATACTATTAGAAGGGAAATTATGGCTGGAATATGTATTATAAAATGAATTTTATTATAAATAAGGGAGGAGTAGGTCGAACGCTATCGGTTTACTTATATTTTCTTATCGTAAATCGTATTATTTCTAACATATGGAGTTGGTTTGAAAACATTATTAATCATATTTTTAGACGGTCGGAACTACGTGGCCGGCCATGCTTGACTAACGGGAAGAACTAATGGTATTTTGTAATTGGGAAAACAAATTTTCCATAATTGCTAATTAAATCCCTTTAAATGACGATCGGCACGATTTGAGTTAAATCGCAAATTTTACTCTAATTAACACGAAACTATTTAAATTGATTTGTTGGAGCGCCGCCATATTTAGTAATCGATTGTCGAGAGGGAAAGGATAGAAAAAAACAAGGGTAAACGGAACCGGTCCTCTGTAGTTGTCTTTTTTTTCTTTTTTTAGTTGAGTTACGCGCCATCAGGACGGGGTTAGGAGAAACAAACTTTTCCAAAATAAGTACGATGGCGATAAGGTAGAGTAATCATTGTTTACAGGTTAAATACTTTGTTTCGTTATGTCTGTTTAATAAACTCGATGGAATTTTTCGTATGCAATGTTTCGAAACACTATTAAAATATTCTTAGAATGCGAATTGATATTTTATTTGGTAAGAGGGTCAATAGATAAGCTTATATTTATCTAAGGTAAATTTTAAAATTCCCGTTTACTACGGGAATGAATTTTAATGTAGATTCTTAGAACAACCAAAAGGGTATTGAAATACCCAAATGTCTAGACCTAATACCCAAAAAGTGGCGCGTTATCCTGTGGACGAAATGGGCGATTGCCTGGGGTCCCCGTTAACAGGGACTCCAACCAATCTTTTAAAAGAAAATATTTTCCCCAAAAATTCCCTGAAGTAAAATGTCTGAAGTCAACATTCTACGTGGGGGACCCGTAATTCAAATTTACCTTGTCCCAATGAAACTATAACGTGCCACCCTTGTTGGTTGGATTTGGGGTGTATTGTACAAATTTTAAACTGAAGACAATTGCATTTTGCAATGGTTTATATCAGTGGTGCCCGAAATTTTTGATTTTCGGGCCAAATTAAATGTGTTAAATTTGTTCGCGGACAGATTTTGGCCCGGGAGGTCGTAGTTTTTGGCATCCCTGGTCTATACAATTGATTTGTTTCACGTTTCGATAGGAAATTCAGGAAATATCCTTGTTACAGTTGAAATATACCTATTTGCATAAAGTGTAAATTATTTTCCATTAGTGCGTACGTTTGTTTGTGTGTAGAATGGCTCATCTAAAAAACAGCCGAACCAAATTTCCTTCCTGGAAGTCATTTTTAATGGCGAGTCTGAATTTTCGAAGTTAGCAAAGAACTTTCAACTTAATTCTGACTTCTCATTCTCTACACACTAAAAAAATTGATTCTGAATTTTCTGAATGTCATAAATACATGAATTATACCAATTTTTAAATGTATTGTTTAGGAGGAAACATCCTGTATCTCCTATCTACAATCTTGTTTAGTATATACATTATTAATTTATAAATATAATGCACGAATATCGCATATATCGACCTATTTACATCTCCAGAATGGAATTTAAAACACGTCGTTTCATTCTATATTGACTTTACATTTCATAAAAGATTTAATAACTGGCATTTACTAAACATCATGTGCAGCAGTTTCGATTAGTTTAAGCAATAGAAGCCAAAGAGGAAGTTTTTGTGAAAGTTATATAACACGAAATTCTTCGGTTAAGGAAGTATTGTCTTAAGGATTAACAATGGAATATTTGCTAAACCTGGTACTGTAAGTATCCCGAAAGGAAACGAAATAATACGAATTCCTTATCGAAATAACGATAAGAAGGTTCCTGAAATATAAAATTATATCTGATTTTTTTTTCAGTATTTTCAGACATGTCAACTATTGTTTCAACTGTGACGTAAGCTTTCCTGTATCTTTTTGAATTATGTATTCGAAGTCATGCGTTATTTGCTACGAAAAATCACATTTTCCTGATATATTAGGGCATATTTTGGTGCTTAAATTTCGAAATTATCAGCTAAAGCAGGATTTACCAATGAAAGTTTGAAGGGGGTCGATAAAACTTGTAAAATTCTTAACATTTTATATTTGTAATCTTTTGCTCTCAAATAGGAAGATGCCTTTTAAAAATTCTGTAGGATGCTATTGCATGTATATTTAAAAATATTTAAAGTCGATGAAAAAAACATTTCTTAAGAGGATCCATACATGAAAGGTTGTGAACCAGTGTGAAGCATCAAAAAAAAATTAAATATGGACATAATGTAGTCCAGAGGTAGGAATCTGCTACCTGTTGTGGCTTTTATGAAATATAAAATGGCATAAGGTTAATTTTCTGTCATGTATTTTGAGTAATGAAAGTATTATTTCTGTTTTGTAAAGGCAGCTTTGTAAATATGATGATTTTTCTTTTGGTGCATGTACAGTGCATTGAATGTACACTTATACAACCTGCAAACAATATACGGCCTTGAAACCTCTCAGAAGTGGATTTGGTCATCTTGTGAAAAAATATAGGCTACGTCACAGACGAGGAACCCGCCTTACAACTTTTTGGTGGTAACAGATTTGAAAATAACAATGTTAAAATGTAAAATTGCTGATTTTTAAAGCGTAACTACGAATGCCATCTCTATGTAATTATGTATATGTATCATTAACAGGATAAATTTAACCGATTCATTATTTAAAGCAATGAAATTCTATACGTATGCGCAATTTAATTTAATGGAACTAGGAAAAATTAATTACCATCTCAGTTTACTTGCATCATATTTCATCAGACTTTATTAACTCTCATCCATTGTAAACAAAGCAAAAACTTCCATCTTAGAGGAACTGGAAGGGGTTTCACACGATGGGTAATGTTTTCGAATGGGTTTTCACACGTGTTTTCAAATGGGAATTTGAGTTAATATCTGGAATCGTCAAAAAGTGGCGTATATGGCCTCAATTTTTGACAAATTTGGGCGGGTCCGAACCGCAGTAAGCGAGGTCATTAAGGGTCAGATCCACCCAAGAGACTGATGGGAAAATATTCTTGTTCCTAGTATCTAATGAAAAATCGTTAGGATAGAGATCCGGGTTGATCCTAAAGGGGTAATTACTTATCCTTTAGGATCAATCCGGATCTCGATTATTTTAATTATTGCGAGAGTAAACCCTTCACTCTTCGAACTTGAACTCTCTCCATTCAAACATGCCAATATCGGGGCGTAACCGATTATTTAATCTTAAATACAAAAATATAATCGAAGATAAGATTGCTTAATTATAAAAATCGAAATTGTTTTCTATAAGCCAAAAGTAATTTGGAAGAGCGCGAGATTTTTTGTTTTCAATTTTTTTCTTTGAAGATTGACCAAGTGTTCATGGAAGTTAAATGTACGTGGAAATTTAGAAAATGGAAATTATATTTATTTTTGTAAACATTTTCAGATTTAAAGTACAAATATTTTATTGATACAGTATATAAAAAAACAAGTACAAACAGAACAAAGTCTG